CCTATCATTTTAAAATTTATTTATACAATTTTTAAGATGCAAATACCAGGAATAAAGTTTATTGTCTCCTTCGCCTTTATTAGGTAATAAAAAAAGCAATAGGAGTTACCGACGATGCTCGTCAAATAAATTTCAACTCAGTTTGAATTTCTCCTGGTACTCAAATAGGGATTTTTATACCTGAATTAAACAAGACCCGACAGCTATAAATGGAGTCGTCAACTTGTTCAGTGACATGGGAGATTTCGCGATTCAGCAGGCTGTGTGAGCGCTGCCAGTACGGCGGGAAATATGGTAATTTTTTTTGGCGGGTATTATAAATGCAAATGGAGGAAGCAGCACTAACGGTGCATACGAGACATTTAATGAAACGCTACGCCTGCAGTTGATGACGTAGGCCCTCCCAGCGCCCGTCGCTTCCATTTAACTGGTAATTGGGATGTTTACAAGTTTTTATTCCTCGCGCCAAGGCTCGGAAGATCGCTGGATGGAAGATGACCTCACTAAACTTAAGTCGAGAACTTGTTTCTATTCCAAGGCGGCCGTTAAAAAACCCCCGCCTCGAGAAATCTCTGATAAGGCTGTTTCACACTGGACAGTGTTTTAGTTTAATAGCAAGTGATTTAGTACCTAAAGCTCTGAGATGAGAACTATTTAGCCCATCTTGTTGGCTATCAGCAACGTCGTCTCTTCCCGTTAAAAGCTGAAAAATGAAATATTTCGAAACATTACGGAGAGATATACTACTAAAATACAAATCATATACATCAATATAATAAAAAATGAACTCACAGTTACATTAAATTATATTTCATTTTACATTTATCGCTGTGAACACGTTAACATTTTACGAACTTTTTTTACTCACACCGGTCAGAAGTAATGAAAACCAGCATGTGTGAGGTAAAGGATACAATGCCAATTTTTTATTTAATAATTTAGTAACAGAAAAAAAAGTTAATAACGTAGAGTTATGGACAAGTGGATCCACGAACAAATACAAAATACAAAGGCAGACAAAGCAGCAAATACGGCGAGAAGGCTAGGTATAAATCCAACAGTTATAATAACGAAATCCCAATAGAAGATTTTATACAGCATATAAAGAAAAAATTGCAAGTAATGTGGCGGAACGTATGGCAACAAAAAGAAACTAAGTTAAAAGAAATAAAAAGCCACTGACTAGACCCACCGACTTGCAAGAGCTGTAAGGTGCAAAGAACAGTCCAAAATATCATTTAAAACTGCCCAGTATTTAAGAATATAAGGAAAAATTTGGATATGGCTCAGAGTCTAAAAGAAAACCTCACTGACAACAAAAACGCCATGGAAAAAACCTTACAATATTTAAAAATTATAAAATTCTACAATAGAGTATGAATAGGAAGTGTTGCCAATGACCCTGCAGTGTAGAGGCAACAATTAAACAAATAAATAAATACAAAAATCTTAAGTGGTGTACTTTACCTCCTGAGTACATATTTATTAACTAAGACACAAATTTTAATATCTCAAAGTTATGGAACATTGGCTGAACTAATATAAAACCGGACATTAATTACCTACGGGGTACAGAGTTTAATTATCTTAATCAAATAAATCGTGTTTTAAAAATCTTTATAGAAATAAATATTTTTGTATCTATTTATTTAAATAATAAATAAATTATTTATCATTTTATTTAATTTTTTACAAGAGAAAAAAATTGCATATTTTAGGATATAAGCACTAGTTATAGACAAAGGGCCCAGTGATGGACAGATTGGACTTTAAATGTAAATAATAAGCTTCCTTGTTGATTTAAAGGTTCCAGTTTTTTCTAGATTGAAGAGCAATGCCCTTTATTGAAAACTGTATGAACAAAGTAGCCAAAAGAAAATTTGAAAATGACTATCATTATTGTTTCTATAGTGCTCTTGAGATCAGTGTGTTTCATACTTTCCTACTAACAGTTTTGCTAAGAGTAAGTTGGACATTTATGGTATCTTATCTTTATAGTTAAATAAATATTTTAGATTTTTTCTGAAGTATCTATATTACTGTTATGGATCTACCGACCCCCTGTCCATTACTAGAACAACTGAATTTCGGTTGGTCCATCGCTAGTGCAAAAAGGTGTTTTTACTAAATGGAGATATCTGCAAAACTGATTTTTTATTTTAATTTTAAGGTGTTAAATAGAAAAAAGGAGATCCTAGAGATTCTAAATGTCCAACGGAGAAGTTTATAACTATGATAATTACTGCGGCATAAGACAAAAATTTCCTAATGGGTCAGAACCAAGAAAGAAATAGCAATTATTTTCCACATTCTCCTCAAATCTTATTATTATTATTATATTTTTAAAAAATATTTTGTAATGGAAAGTATGATTTCCAAGAAATTTCAACTTATTTTTGCAGGAACCATTGGTGTTTTTAATTAAATTTCGATTATAATAGATTATTTTTAGAAACAGATAAGTGAATAAAAACGAATTAAAATTCTCTAGTTGCTTACCATACGACAGCCTTATTATATTATTTTCTTTTACATACTAAAATTAGAGAAGCTTTCGAATGCCACTATATTGAATTTCTACAAATTCCAAATATAATATTAAATTATAAGATTATTAATTTGTTTACATTTTACAATTTTTGTAATTGTGATGCAAACTAATACTATTAAGCTTAATTCATGTTTCTAAAAAATAAATGATTCGAACAATGTTCTTCTTCTGGTTTCATTGTATCTAAAATTAGTTTGAAATTGAACAAATAAATAAATACAAAATATATATAATACCCAGTATCATATCTATACATTCTTATAGTAGCCATTTAATTTTTAATACTGGCTATAAATTCATATAATTAACTTAATAATTATTTCATTGTGAAAGCCATGAGAAATTAGCTTGCAAATGGATCTCAATGGCCAATTTATCTATCTGTCAGTTATTCATTGCGAATTTCATTTCGATTTGGTATTTGAACGATGCGCATCGACCTGATGTTTCGAGTTTGAATATCCGTCTCATAAATTGCTACCGAGGGGCTGTAATTCAGCGAAGAACTCCCAGGAATGGAGTTGAGTACTTCAGTAATCGGTGCTTAACAGCAGCTTGGCAGCATTATATAACTCTTGGGTTAAATGTCGCGTCAATAAATGTCAGAAGAATTACACGAAGGGTGTCTTAAAATACATAAAATAACAGCGTTGTCAGGCTATGCTTATATTATTGTTGTATGTTAACAATAAAGTACTTTAAAAGCAACTTTGTTGTAATGCCTATCCGAATTTACGGATTTTCTTTGAATAGCATATTTATGTTGGCGATTTCTAGTTCTTTTATATTAGTGGCTATGTATATCTATTAGAAGTAACAATCCAAAACGCTATTTATTGTTTTTATTTTTTAATAATGCTATATTTTATCAAGTAAAAAAAAAGTAAATTACTAAACATCATATTTATTTTTATTAAAATCGGAGGGATTTAGGAACGGGGATGGAGAGGACGATGGACCAACTCCAATTTTACAAATAATACAACTGCACATTCAATTGTACTACTCTTTGTTCAAATTTTATAATTTTATTGTATTTTAAGAACATGAAATAAATGGAATTAAATCACAGTTCGGACAAAATTTTAATTTTTTAATTGTCTCTAATTGAGTCAGATGTCAATATTTCTTAATAAACAAGTTCTAAAAAAAATTTTCTTTAAAAATATATATTATACATAAGTGTGCTGTCTTCGTTACGGACCATCCTGTTTTTTTAATATATAAAATATGATAAGGTCAGTAAAAAAAACTACAAAAAAAAAATTAATTGTAAAATATATTTCTCTATAATTAAAATAAATATTTATTTTCAACAAATCATAATAGACAATATTTGTCATGACTATAGTAACATAATAAATAATAATTTGTAAGGAACAAAAAATAAATTCTCGAAAGTCGTGATTGAACTTTAAAATGCTTTATTCTACCTATACAAACGCACATTTTAATTGTTCCAAAAAACTTAAAATCCATGTACCAGACAGAAACAAACAGAAACCGATCGACATTTACGACTACTCCAGCACTTACTAGACAAATGCTCTAAGCTTCCAATTAATTACAATATACAATACAATATGATACGATTATAATATACAAATGCAATTATAATATACGTGATAACAATAAGGCCTATTTATACTTAAGAAGTTGAAGATATGGGTCTCTAATAAACCATTGAGATTTCATTCGTATCCAATCCTTACAATTCAAAATTCTCAATGTTCCTTACTTTGTTGCAAATAAAAACATCCATAACGCCCTTTATGCACCTTTTGTTTCCTATTTGGCTTAATCCAGATACAAATCCTTTCATAATAAACTTTAGAACTATCCGAATCCTCTCGTTTCTAACATTGCTTCCTCTTCGATTCCTGATAACTCTCCGAGGCGTTTGAAAAATAGATGGTCCCATGATTTCCCAATGTTGACAAATTAGTAGAGTGCTACTACCAGTGGGTAGTTTTTGAACAAGTGTTTTCGTGTCATTATAATCATATTTTCACATTTACAAGATGGATTTTTATTTTTTAATACACTTGTAAAGATCATGAATAAGTAAGAAAAAATGGTAAAGAGGTGTAAGACGTACTCGTGTTCCTGGATTAGGCATGGCCAGAATTATTTTCTTAATTATTTTATTTATCTTAAAAAAATATCATTTATTATAATTTTGGATTATTTTAATTATATATGGTTATAATTATTTTCTTCTTCGTGCAATAAAATAATTTTTGACATATTAAGAAAATAATTTGTGAGATTATACAAGATATTTAAATTTGCATATATCATTTAAAGCTGTCCCGGATATTTTATTTTATGTATGGAGTGTGAATGTTTATTCCCACTAGTGGCATCAGTGCAGGTTCAGTCACAAGCAAACAATAACAACAAAAATATATTAGGCAATAGTTTGTAAATAAAATTAGAATAGTTCAGAATGGCAGCATTAGATATGTTCTTATTAAAGCCGGTAGAGGGAGAGAAAGAAACGAGTTTGTGGCACCAAGGCCAAACCGTCCAAGAGCCAAAAGAACAAGTTCCTACTGCCTACATTGCAGTAGCACGTGTCCGCCGGGGCCTCAATGCAGGTGTGCTTCGATGGCCAATAAAAATAAAAGCAATAAAAATAATAAACGTTCCGAAGTTTGCTCTGCCATCAACAGCTCGCTGTTCCTTATCGGCTCCTAACCGCTTATATTATCCAAGTAATCAATAAAACCTCAAAATACCTTCCGTCTATTATAGCAACCGTCTACCAAGTAAGGTCAGTATTCCTCACCGTTTTCATTGTATATTACAAGGTATACAATTTTTGGTACTAGTTCACAAGAGTTCCGCACGGATTACGCATGGTTCACAATCACTTCGGTCACACTTGTTCATGGAATCCCGAATGCCTTCGGGTTTATCCGACAGAGAACGAAGGCGACCGATCTCTTGAGTTAGTTATTAGGATTAACTTTCCCGCCATTTAAGTACTTCTATAACCTTAAACATGTTCAGTTATATTAATGTTATTTAAGGTATTGACCTAAATTCGAAATTTAGACTACACATTATGAAATCTGAATCAAAAATGTACATATATTATATATCTGTGAAAAAGGAATATTAATAGATAAAAACATTTAATTATAAGATCTCTGAATGCTATTTCACAATATTTTTCTTATTTATGATTTCTATTATTCATTATCTCGGAATTATCAGATATTCTTTGTTAGTTCTTTTCTCAATACGTTAATTCCTTTCTCGAAAATAAACACGATTTTTTTGTTTTACGAATGACTACAATAATTGCCATTCAGATTATTTATTATCCAAAGGATAAAAAACTCTTTTAGACAATTTATAAAAGATAATATACAACAATATATGCGTATTTATAGTCACTACATGTAAGCACGTGTCAATAAAAATTTTATTTCTAAAAGCATTTTTTTTTTTACAGGCCTTGAAGAAAGGACTCAAACATTATTTTATTTAGGTTTTCTTTTTCTTTCACAGTAATGACCGTTATAATGCAAATTAATAATTAACTAATTAGTAAATACATTTTTAATAAGGAAGTTCCACGAAGGAAATCAAAAATCAAAATAAAAAAATGCATGAAAAAGGTACAATAGCTGACGTCATAAAAGACGACAACATTCGGCTGTTTTCGGGATTCCATGAACAAGTGTGATAGAAATGATTGTGAACCATGAGTAATCCGTGCGGAACTCTTGTGAACTAGTACCCAATTTTTTGTATGAGAATAAAATCTCTGGGAGAAGCCGATTCGGAAATACATTTACACTTCAATATTCAACAAAAGAGTGCCGTCATATTTGAAGATTTCATATTCGATTATCCTTAATAAAAAGGAACAAAAAAAAAATGCATACTGAACATGAATTTCAATACTGTTAGTGCAAAAGGTATTATGTAAAAAATTATTGTTTTACAAGAGTGCATAAAAACTCATTATTTCTTTATGCTTTATTAGTAAAATTTCATATTTTATTGTAATCTGCTATTTTCCATAGTAACAGACTACTTGAATCAGTTGCAGACTACAAAATTTCACCTTTAATACAAATAGAATAACAGTTTTTAGCGATGGTGTCATATTTTATCTTACATATACAAAGCGGGACGGACCGTAACGAAGACACCACACTTCTTATTCCCGGCATTATTTCACCTTTATTTTATTTTTTTTAAATATTTTTATTTATTAATTGAATAATATAACATTCTATCACTTATGTATTGGTTATATGGAGGTAAGACCACATTTACACAATATGTACAAAACATATATAAAATAAACAGAAGCAAAATAACTAAATAATAATAAACTTTTTCTCCCTTATTATGGTTACAAATATGCGATAAGGATCACTGTAACTATATAATAATATAAATTGGCAATAAAGTGCGATTTTTAAATAAATTAAAACTTTGTCTAAACTGTGGTTCCGTTCCGTTTATTTTATGTTGATAAAAAATAATAAAAACAAAAATAAATAAGGCTATACAATTTGAGCAACGAGAAGTACAATTAAATGGAAAGTTTAATTGTATGTATAGTTGAGAAAATGGGGCGTTTGTCCGTCGTTAGGCGAACAGGGTGTACCCTCTAGTAAATTTATAAATTATTATAACTTCATAAATAACGATGACGAAATTTCTTATTAATCAACCTTTAGGAGTCCCAACATCCTGTTAACCAATTCATAACAATAAAATATTAAAAATATGTTGTACCGGTTCCATAGATGTCAGTTAAAAAAACTGTATGCTAACAGATCTAAATGGTAGATAACATTAAATTTTGATTTATTTACATATTTCCAATTGAACAATAACGCACATAGAAATTATAATAAATATAGGAAAAACGATCGAAACAGAGCGTGCCCCTTTTATTTAACTACAGTTTAAATTAAAGATTTAAAATTTTTAACAAACTACAATTAAAATTACTATTGTGATATTGACCTAATTGCAAAGAAATAACCTACCTATATTTACCTCTCGAATCTTTGGCACAGGTCAAAAGTCGACAACCACAGAAAGGAGAATAATAAGGAAGTGGGTGAGAGATCTACACCATATACCACTAGAGATATACCAACATTATAAATATTTTGAGATTAGATCGTCCAATGTGAATATTCGTCATATTCTACAATAATCTTATAAAAATGTTTCCTTCGATGAGTTAAGATCTTATATGAATACAAAAATATATTCGACGATCAATAACATCATTTCAAGGTCAATTAATACCAAATCCAGGAATTTTATAAACATAGTAATCAGTTAGGTTGACCAAGGCCAACAGAGCGCCGCGTCTTTTTTTTACGTCTGTTCAGCAATAATAATACAGAAGACTTCATAACTCCTAGCCAAAGGGAAGAAAGAAGTTTTGAAAATTATCAATTCTTCAAATCATTTTATTTGAAAATGAATAAGGTTAGTAAATTTATGCTTGTTTATATCGGTATACCTGTTTTGTTTCACTTATCTTTAAATTAATTTATTCCATATAATTATTGGTTATTATATTGATTTTCTGTAAATACGGTGAGAATGAACTCCATTCTTCCTAAAAACATTGTCCTTGTTGTGAATGAATATTATATTACCCAATAACATAGTTTTAAAAAAATCTTTTTTTCTTTTTATATCTTCATCTACTCCTGCCATAAACTTGATAATAAGCAGATGTGTTGTTATCCTTGAGAAAAATGGCGATGGGAAAAAAAATTAGGCTTGAGTTAGAATAGCACCCAGCAGCACCTCCTCCCCGTCTTAATTTTACTTCCTTAATTCAGGAAAGGAGATCTCTCATCAGCTCCTTCTGATGGCCATGTCGTTAATGAGTCCGTTGTTGTGTCCGTGTAGTAAAGAGTGCGTGTATGTAGGTCAATAGTTGGTTGTAAGTCGGTATGTAAAGTTTTGTTGTTTACGTACCAGGTATCTACTCTTATTATTCTTAAACTTTTGTGATTGAAATGATTGGAGTTTTTGTAAGTGCTTCTTTTTTGCAGGTCCGTAAATGTGTGAGGCGGATATCGATATAGGTTTAAGTTAATGTTATAATAACATCGCTTAATGTTAATCTGTTTACATTAATGTTAATCAATTAATTTGAGTAAGTGTTTATTTGTGCTTTATATACGTTAAAGTTAAAATATGTCAAGTTGTCAACGCTTTTATGACAGTAAACGTTTTTCTTACCTTGACCCAAATGGAAAACAAGCACGGTATCAATAACCTATTTTAAAAAAAATATTCGTTTTACTGGTTTAAAAGTTATGTGAGTTGAGAAGGAGGGGATGCCATTGTTGTATTAACATTAAAAAAAACATTGTCGGTTTATTAAAAACAGTCACTAAGTAAATTTTCGATCCAGCTAAACTTTGAATGTTGTTTTTATGAATTTATATCTTTTATTTATTGATGCAATAACACAGTAAGTTCAACAAAATGTTCTCGTTTCAGAGAGAGAAAATTCACCAGAGCAGTTATGGATTCAATAAACCCTATTGCTACTACCCTATAACTATTGCTACAAAATTCAGAAATGGAAAAAATGTAAGTTTGTATGGCATGTAAGAATTGGGTCATTCAGACTTCAAAACAAAAAATAGAAATCTTTATCAAACCAAAAAAAAGGAAGTATTTTTTTTTTGTCTATAAAAGATGTATTTGTGTTTGTCAACTTGGTGACAATCAGCAAATGTGATTAGTCTCCTCCTCATGTTCTGAGGTATGTCAGCTGTGGCCATGTCTTTTATTAGTCTGTTATTATATCCATTTAAATTTTTGTAAAATCGTTGATAAAGGATCGTTATATGTTGCTCAACTGTTGGAAAGTGGAGGTCAGTATGTAGAGTTTTATTAGACACGTACCAAGGTGCTTTTGTTATGAGTCGCAATAATTTTGATTGGAACGTTTGAAGTTTGGAAGTTTTGAAGTTAGGTGGGTCTTTTTAGCGAAGGCTAAATATGAGTATATTTGTGATGAGTACGTCCATATGGGTTGACTTAAGTAAGTATGTATTTTGTTCCTGTTTTAGTTTTAGTTTTTAGAAAAAAGAGAGTAAAGTAGTTTGAGCCATTTGTTAAGTATCTTACGTTTCATTTTAATATGCGGACCCCATGTCATGCTTCTGTCGGAGGTGAGTCGAAGGTAAAGTACCGTGTCCGTTTGAGGAACTTGATTGTTGTCAATATAAACTGGAGGGAAGGTGTTTTTTCGAAGAGTAAATGTTGTATGTTTGGATTTGTCATGATTAAGTCGAATTTTCCATAGTGTGAACCAATCTTGTAATTTAAGAAAAGTAAATCTTAAAATAGATAGATTTTATAAGCCTAATGTTTTTTTCCTTTTTTTCGTTATTTTAACAAGCTTAAACGAAATTATCTTCTGATCAAATTCAACTCAGCGATTCTTTTCATCATCCGTTAGGGATGGGAATAAACCAAAGGTAGAAGAAAATACCCTCCACATAAACACAAGCAGAGCCTAGCTCTTCGAAACATGTTTTAATTGCCTGTTGTGCTCCATCAGGCCCACCCGGCGAGGTCAATAACCGGGTCAGCTTCGGAGACGAACCTTCTGGTTTACTTGGACTCAAAGACCATAGGCTTCCAGGGGGTCTGAGGGTGGAATCGAGAATGCCTGAAGAGAAGAGATGGAAGTAGGATATAGCACGACAAGACAGAGCAGGGGAGAAACGAGTCATCGGCCGGGCCACTGTGGAGGTTCCCATCGGCAGTTTCACCTGATAACGGTCTTCCAACCAGCCCCGAAATGTCCCGAGCACTCTCACTCTTCCAGCCTTTTATTATTGCCGTTTTGGTCTGTTAATAGAAATTAAAGAGTCAAATTTACAGAAGAATTTGCCCTTGTTTAATCGTTAAATATGAGAGATGAAGAAAAAGGAATTTTTTTTTTTTAATAAATTAAAACAGACAAATATCATAATAAATAAATAAGACTGGATAAATGTTTTTTTCATTGATATTTAAAACTGTATTATAAAAAAAAATACAACTAGTAAATGTGCACACAATAATAATACAATCACATGAAAACGCTTGTTGAGAAACTACCCATTGGTAGCACTCTAATAATATATTTATAAGGATGAATGTTATTTATTTTATTTTATTTTTTTTCTTATTTATTTATTTTTTTAATTTGCGTTGTATCATATTTTATTTCATCTGTTTTACTAAGCTTTCTTTTCTTATTTTTGTTGTAATTTCTATTATTTTTGTAATTGTATATATTGTATGAATGAGTTTCTCACATCGCAAATACTCAATGCCCTTGATTGAGGCAAAATGTATTTTTTTCTCAAAAAAAAAAAAAAATATATTTACATAAGTAGATCATAGAATGTTTCGGGGTTACTTTTCAATCATTTTAAAAAAAGATTTACTACACATTAAATCATCAACTCATTCATTACACTAAAAATATACAAGACTATATTTAAGAAAACGCCGAAAGAAAAGCCATATAATTTCACTATTTTTTATGTATTATTTTATTTTTAATATTTGTACTAAAACAAATCTGCTTTCAAATAAAAATTTTGTTTGCTTGCATTTTTATCTTTCAGTAAATTCATTCTCTTGATCCTTCAATTATTTTTCCCTATAAATATATTTCATAAAACTTGAATAAATTAAGTTAAAGATGTGCAATAAAATATATTTATCATATAAACATAATTATTTGTATTATCAATAATAGATCAAATATGGGATAGAAATAACACTCGACTATTCAAAGCTGCATATACTTATTGGGTCTACACCTATAGATATTACCAATGTAATTAAATTATATTTAGTTGACCTTTTACCACAAATTATATCAATTACACGAACAACTTTGGATAGAGTAGGAATCAACTTCAATCAATAATTTGGGATAATTAATATACATTAAAAAAACATTCTTAATGGCATCTAGCTACGAATTAATTATATATATGAGAGTCTCTAATATAAAGTAGTATCTGCATGTTAAAAAAAAAATAGGAAAATGAGTCAACATGAATATTTCTCAACCTTTACATCCAATTTGAGAAAAAGTATATTTATTAGAAAATTATATGAATTTTTTATATGACGAAGATGTTTATTTCAAAGGTCAAGAGACACAAAAACCTTGAAGTAAATAATTAATATAAATAAAACATTAGAACTGCAGGCCATAAAGGTCTTCGAATTCAGTACTTCGTACCTTGTACTTCGTGAAAGTACTATTTATAGATCAACATTTATACAAGAAATCGATGCGTTCAGCATCAACGTTCGACCTACAGGTTTGTATCAAATCATTGGCGGATTGAGAGATAGTACGTGTGTCTTCCCGAAAAATTAATAAAATTTTAAGTTTTTGAATAATTATGTAATCTTCAATATATAAAATCCTTCAATAATATACATCTTTCAAATATTTATCCTAAACAAATCAAGATTTGTTTCGAAATGGAATAAGTATTTTTTTAAAATATATTTCGAAACTTTACTAACACTTTTTAACTAACACTTAGTTGTTTATCGTATCCAAAACTTTTTGACACTTCTTTCGGCCTGGCCAGCCTCCCTCTCGAAGACTTCTGCCAGGTTTCCGTACCTTCCTCTACATCCTGCAACCATTCCTCTTTTCCGCCTTTCTATCTTTTGTATAGAGACTTACCTACTTGTTCCATAACATAGAATTTAGTGTCCTAATTATCCTCCTTCCTCTTGTGATTTTTCCATGATGTCCTTGGAGGAGCTTCCATCCTCAGTTATCCATCTACCTGGATATTTAAATTCATGGACTTTTTTTCTAATTCCAAGTGCCATATACTTCGTTATTTCTTTATTCATCTCTTGCTCTATATTCCTCCAAGACCTTCCTTAGCATATAACATCTTCATCGTCATTCGCTATTCCTATTCGGTCTTCGGCAAATTGTAGGATATAAGAGTATTGTAGGATATCATCTACCAGTATTCCCATCTCCATGCAATCCTTCTTCCATACTTTTAGAACCTGATATTTTGAAACTCATTCCCTTAAAATGGAAACACGAAATTCACACGCATGCAAGCACGGAGAAATAATTTGATAAACGTCATTAAACTGTTTCTTTTTTTTGTTGTTTATTCGTGAAAGTTCTTGACCATAATCATTTTAATTTTTAAACTAATAATTAATATGTTCGTAATTAGATTTTAATTTTCTTAATTTAAATAATTTGTGTTAAAAAACAGTTCTTAGAAAGGTCAATCGAATATTTTCCCATGATTCGATAGCAATAGATTCGAATCAGCAAGAAAAACATAATGTTTTTTTTCATTTTGTCTGATTTTTGGTAAATTTAAAAATACATTTTTATTTTTAAAATTTTTATAATATATCAAATCAAATTCTGAAATGTTCGTGTTCAAATCCCTTTTGAATCCGAACAGTTTTCTTATTTCTTTACTAACATTGTTGACAACGGGTTTATTTTAAAGTAAAACTCGATTAATTAAATCATATATAGAGACTTTTGTAAATTTTTTTTGCGCCTCCCCAAAAGTAATTTCTTGTTTCATATATGTAGTCCACCCAGTGAAGGGTTAAATACCAACTTCAGAGGCTGTGGGTGTGTATCGAGTGAGACTTCTGATATTATTTTAATAATAAGGCTTAGCGAACCCGAAGGCTCGATGCCGACACCATCAATCGCTTGTTACACATCTCCCTCCACCGTTCGCCGTCCAAACCCAGTCCCTTCAGATCGGGTTTAATGCAATCTTCCCACCTTCGCTTCGGTCTACCCCTCGGACGCTTACCATTCGGCACAGCAAATATTAACCTTTTAGGAATTCTCTCGTTACTAAGCCCAACAACTTTACAAGCCCATTTGATTCGCCGCGATGAAATTACCTCAATTATATTACCCGGATACAGCTCACGCAATTCGGCGTTGTGTAACCGTCTGAACTCTCCGGTTAACTCATCCTTCTTCGGTCCGAATATTCTACGCAATACTTTATTTTCAAAAACCTTAAGACGCTGCTCATCCCTTAGTGTAAGCGGCCAAGTTTCGCATCCAATATATTCTAATTTTTAAGTTTCGGGACAAGAGGCGCGAACTAAGTAGTTTTGTCACAGAAAAATAACAAGCATTCCCCGCCTTCAGTCTAACCTTAATCTCTTCTTCAATTTCGTTTTTTCTAGTTATCGTAGAACCTAGATACCTAAATTTATCTACCTGTTCAAACATATTACCATCTATATCGATATCACCAGTAGTATCGCCATTTTTGCAGCTAACCATATATTTTGTTTTATCCACGTTTATTTCGAGTCCTAGTTCTTTACCGGCTTTCATTAACGTTGTCGTATTTAGTTTTATAGTTTCAACGTCTTCGCTTAACAGTACCAGATCATCAGCATAGCCCAGCACGGATGTTGTCCCGCCCAGATCCAACCCTTTCTCGGTTCGCATTACCTCCCTAATGGCATGTTCTAATGCCAAATTGAACAGGACAGGCGAAAGAGAATCCCCCTATTTTAAGCCCGAACGAACCTCAAATTTTTCGGACAAATTATTACCGATTCTAACTTTATTGAGTGTCTCCGTCAAGCACATCCTGACTAGATTTACTAGTTTTTTTGGAATCCCCTGCTCGATTAGAACATTATACAGTTTCTGGCGGTCAATAGAATCGTAAGCCTTTTTAAAATCTATATACAGCTGGTGAACAATACCGTTGTATTCCAATTTTTTCTCTAATATTTGCCGTAAAGAAAATATTTGATCAATAGTCGAACGATTCCGTCTAAATCCGCATTGGTAGTCTCCGATAATTTCCTCGGCGTATTCCGTGATTCGACTGGTTCTGATATTATTTTACCTATAAAAACTAATTCCTCCCCTTATTAATTAACAGAATATCAGTCGCAATATCTAAACTACGTTTTTTATTTATTTCAACCCTATCCTGACGGTAAGGCAGTACGGGTGTTATGCAGCAGGGGGTAGCAAACCATGCGTAACAACTGCTGCAAGCATTCAGACCTATAGGTTTTTTTTTTTTCTTTTCTACCCAATAAATAGTGGGTTGATCCAACCCAGTTCGGTGAGTATACGGAGGTCTTGTAATACGAGTAATGCTTGGTCATTAGTTAAGGAAGATCGCTCACCATCAGAACGTAGAGTCCTGTCCCGCTCAACAACTTGGCCCTCAATGCCTTAAAGGCGGTACAGAAAAGCAGGATGCTATTGGCGGAAACTATGTTATTTTCGAATCCAACAATACTAGAAACAGTATATATTTGCCTAAATCCCTTTCCATCATAAACATGATTCAAATATAAATGCTTCTCCCTCCACTCCTTAAGACTATAACTCGTATCCACTCGATAAACTCAACGTATCCATGAGAACAATACTTGGCCACGAAGGGCAGTAGCGCAATATAAATACCTTAGTATAACCCGATAAGGAACGACTCCCAGGAACACGCAACTAAGCTAGTTCCAGTTATCTGTCCAGTTTACTGCTCCTTTAGGATAATATTTACTATAATCGTGGACTACTCCGAGCGTGCCTAACGAACGCAATATCTGCCCCTCTGGTCTATTTTAACATGGATTTACTTACGATACCGATCATCGGCGGTTTATTAAATACTCTGTTCCGCTGTATAAGCTTGACCTTGTACAGGAAGATTTTTATCGAGGAGTATCGCCAACTGTACCTTACCGGTAACGGTATCGAAGCTAATGGATAATTTAAATACAGATGAAGAATGCCAAGCAATTATTCGACTCGTTTACAAACACAGGTTTACTAAATGGAACGTACGTTCAATTGAATTTTACGGTTTGAAATTATCAATTAATTTAACTATTAACGATAATACTACAGATTTGTCGCACAACTCATCTACACAGGAAGATTCACCTCCATAACGTTTAATTAACAGGTTCCACGACAAGTTAAATAATATAAAATAAATTATACTATAAAATACGCTGCAAATGGTTTATTGTTTTCAAACAATTTAACATCAAAATTAACATTACTTTGCAGGCAACATTAAGGGAAATAAAGAAATAGGAATTCCTAACATTGGCCTATATAATTCTTTTTTTTATATTGATTTTTTTTGTTTATGTTAGACAACATTGCTACAGTTGATAAAAAACATTTAAAAAAAACATAAGTTTTCCAGTAGAACATATAAAACATACTTAGAAAACCATATATTTGCTACAAATTGTCTAATTCTAAAGCTTTCATTTTTTTTTAAATTATAGGCGTGTAAAAAATAACCATAATACATCAACAAACAAGTGTATACTTCTTGAGTTATTCTGAAATATAATTTTATCATCCCTTGTAACTTTTTTTCCGTTAAAGTACGTTATATAGATAAATATAAAAGTTATCGAGAAGAAGACTTTAGCCAAGTTTCCTTGAAATTGGTACATTTGTTTAGTCACTAGTTTATACCAACACAGGTTTATCGGCCGCCATATTGGAAGAAAAGGGCGGATAGTAATGTCGAGTTAAGAATATCATCCTCGGGTGACCTCTGACTTTGATTCCAAATTTGAAAAAATCGGTCCACTAGTCTCGGAGAAAAGCGGCGGACGGCGGACGTACAAACAAATTTTTATTCGGTTTTCGGATTCTATGTATCGCGAAACCACAATTTTGAGAGAGGGTTAGATTTTGAATTTTTTTGACGATTACAGTGGTTCATATTTGAAAATAATAAACCAAAAATATGCTATAAAGCCGACACAATTGAGCACATCTTCTTTTCAATTCAATGTGATAAAAGAATTTCCCAAAACTTTACAGTAGCATCGTTGTTTCACCGGATTAGCAGCATAATGGTACTCCTAGTTCTGATGCAGATACATTTATATAAGTAAAAAAAAAAAAAAAAAAGAAATTACGAAATTTTATAATACAAATCACGAAAATAACCTTTCCTACTGTAAAAAATATCTCATTCGTGACTTGGATTCAGAACAACCTTAAAAATGATAGTTTAGCGTGTTTGAAAACTGAGGGATAGCTAAAAAAATACCACTCGTAGGTGAGAAGAGTTGTTAAAAACTTTCGAATACCGACATGAACAGATATCTTGCATCATAGTTGTAGGTATTGTCATGTAAACAATTTCCCCTCTTCGAATTCGTGATGAAAATATGTTAGCGACTCCATAAGTACAACATGCAGGATATCAAGAAACAACACACCAGGACAAAATACTTCGAAAATTGTTAAAATGGACGTATCTGTGGTAACCAGAAAGGTTTATACCTTCGGTATTTAATAAGCAATATTTATACTGATACCTTATTTTATTCTTTTAAATTTGCAACAGCGCAGTAGCGCATCTAACAAATTTTATGAATAGCATTTGATGATAGCAAATTATTAGTTTATTTGAATTTTCTTCATAACGGTTTTGATTAATTGATTAATTACTGAGCTGTTAGTGAAGTAGCAGATTTCTGGACCATTTTATATTTAATCTGCGTCGAGCAGGTGACAAGGAGAAATAAATTGATAAAACGAGTTGATTGAGGTGATTTCAGGTTGAAGAATGAAATGTTGGGTGTAGAATGATTTTAAATATTCCATAGGGCGATAACAATTGTTCTGAGAATTTCGGATAGTGATTGTATTTTGTTTATGAGTACATTTTTTGCTGAACCAAAAAGTTCAGTATCGTAGACATTGGTCCTCGTATAGCGTTGTAGATTAATCGCTTGTTTTTATTTATTTAAATACAGAATCAATACCTGTAAGTCGGCTGAGTGAGTGGCGCTGGGATCTCAAATGAATGAATTTTGTAAATATTGTATAAAAGCATGTGTGTATTTAAGTAGTTATTTTGATTAGTTTAGTTTCTTCTAGTCTATATACATTTTTTTTAAAACTTTTATTATGATATTTACAACTATATTAGTATGAATAAATCAAGTAAATGTGTACATAGGAATATTATCACATGAAACACGCTTGTTGACAAACTACCCATTGGTAGCACTCTAATTATATACATTTAATTTTAATATTATTATTTTGCTAATTATTATTTTTATTTATTGTTCATAGTGTGAATAAGCTACTCTTCTATCACTGTTACTACTGTACTTGGGTATTGTTTAAATTAGGCTCGCCAGTGATTTTTTAATGATATTTAGTAACTATTGTTATGAAACTTGATACCATTGATATAGAAATAAAATCATATGTTTAAATATTATTTAATTTAGTATTGTTTGTGTAA